ATTATTGGCTGTGTGTTTTTCCCATAAGGCGCCTGCCTCATTCAGAGCACAGCGTGCACAGAGTAACTCGGGCTGCTGCCTGCAGGACTCAGCAAAACGGGACACGGGATCCTGATGAGGGCAGGAGAACAGGGGGAAAAAATGTGCTATAATTTCATTTAATCGTACTGACTGCTTCCCTAGATACTGGGCTTCTTATCCCTACCTCCTTCTCCCTGTGAGATGTCAAGGGACCAAGCTGTCCCCACATGGGTGATAATTGGGTTGCTTCTTTCCCTGATGCCTGACTCCTGCTGGCTGATTCCTGGGAGAGCCAGGAGCTGCTGACTGCGTGTGAAATTGCTGGGGCTGGCCTTCAAAATAAATCTTGTGCTATAGCAGCACCAGGAACTCACAGAAATCAGCCCACCACCTCCCCAGGCAGCGGCTCAGAAAGACACCAACTGTGGGCTTCCATGCAGGCTTCTGTCCCAGAGTAGGGATGTTGGCCCCCGAGGCTTTGGGGCAGCCCTGTTCCTCAGAGAGGGGTGCTGCAGGGGCCACAGGGAAGGAATCCCTGCTCCCTGCTGCATGACGTGGGGACCGGGGCAGTGTGTGGCAATGGGGATGCTCCAAGGGCAAATCAGCTCACAGCTCCTGATGGACCCAGGAGATGACAATTAAAATTCATATAAGCATCTCTGTCCTCAGCACACATAGGGGTCAGCTTATCATCAGCCTGAGCTCTTGCATTCTTGTTTCGCTTGAAGCTACAGCATTCCCTTCAGCGCACCTGGATACACACGTACATACAAATTCACACTCACAGTCACATGGAAGAACTTTCAGAGGGCTCACAGGCTTGCGATGCACTTCCTTTGCCCTTGGCCTGACAGTTATCTCAGAGAGCAACCTCCACTTCTAGCCCCGTGCTCCACAGCTGCAAGAGGAAAACAGGGCGACTGGAACCAGAAGCAGCAAAATGGGCAGTGGATGTTTTAGCACCACGAGGGCCGTGGTGGAACCTGGCAGCACAGTGCTACACCAGCACAGGATCCGCTCCTCTTCCTCAGTCACAGCTCTACCAGTCACTCACCAGCAGCTTGGCTTTCCTCCAGCTCACACCGCAGCACGACGGCCCTTCCTTCCCAGCAGCTCCGTGTGTCGGCAGGAGGAGGCGCAGACAGGCAGAGGCAGCTGTTCCCAGGCTGCCTGCATTACCACGATAATCAGATGATAGATTGTTTTCAAGCAAACTTGAATTTTCACTCGTTAGTGCTGTGCAAATGATTTCAGGGAAAAGAAATAATGAAAAAATAGAAGCAGACAAAAGAGAAAGGCTGAGAGCTGAGTGAGCTCCAGGTGATGCTGTGTGTGCTATCTGTGGGCTGCGGCCATCCTGCAAAGCCAGCTTGTGTGTTAGCAGGGCCGGCCTTCCAGGCACCCTCAGGTCACATATTTGGGGCTGCTTTGTTTATCCCCTGCATACACACCCAAGTTTGTGCCCTGTCTGGGTGCAGCTGCTGCTCCCAGCCTTGCACACCCACCCACAGGTCCAGGCACAGTGATGAGAAGGGAGATCTATTCCAGCTGCGGTTCTGGCCCCAAGGTACCTGACCCGCTTTACCACTGCCAGACCCATTTCAACCCATGAAAGGTCATAGGAAGTTGGGTTTATTTTTAGTTTTCCCTTTTAAGTTCCCTGAAGCAATGGGGACTGATGGAAGGGCAAACATTGCACTCCCTCCAGCCCCGGGTCGGGATCGCAGGATGGTGCTGCTGGGCAGCTGTGCCCACCATGAGGCTCTGGGGCAATGAGTGTTCAAAGAGGGATGTAGGAGGACCAGGTGCAGGGGAGCAGGGCACGGTGCCTGCTGAGCTCCCCAGGGCCACCCGGCCGTGTTACCAGTAAGAGACATTGAGCCTTGGCACATGCTGCTGCTTTCTCATTGCTGGAGCTGTGTTATCGCAAGGGCTTGTTCTTCCTTTTGTTCCTCATATTGTTTCACGGGGAAACTGAAATCGGAGCAGTTCCTGCAGAACTTGGGGACTTTTGGGGCCAAGCGCTCTTTGCACAAAGCAGCCCTTTCTGGGAGCACAGTTTTCCTCCCCACCACCACACATCACCTTCCCCATCACAGGCCCTTGGCTCATCCCCATCCCGCACAGCCTGGGCAGCTCAGGGTGAGACTGAACCACACAATTAGGAAAAAAAATCATTTCTTCTTAATGTAAGAACTGTTGCAGAATTTCCAGCGCTGGGTGGACGGCGGGTTCTCTCTTCTGTAGGAAATCTCACTTTTTTCTTTCCTTTCCCCCAATCTGAAAATGGAATGCAGACACTTAAAATAAATTCCCGGAGAACAAAACTGAGAAAACACAATGGGATTTGCATCAAAGTGTTCAGATTAATTAGCTTAAACTGAAAGCTTTCATTCTGATTTCAACCTCCGCTTTATGTACAAAAAAAAAATTGAAGCAGCAAAGCTTTGCAAGCCAACAAATCACAGTGTTCCACCCTGAAAATATCAAAACACGACGCTTAGCCTCGCTGAGCCGCTTTGTTTCCTTTTAAAAGCAAATGGCACCAGGACCAACACCTTCACCAGCAGCTTGGCTCATTAAGAGCTTCAAAAAAACCCTCAAGATCAGCATAAGCAATTACCATCTTCATCAGTTTTACTCTTTCCTCCAGAGGAAAGCCTACAGCTCCTGGCTGGCCAAAAGTGCCGGAACATTTCTTTAAAATTCTTTCTTTTTATTGTGTTGTTGTCACACAGAACTTGAGCTGGAAGCTCAGAATTTGCCAGGATCTGGACTCCATGATCCCTAAGAGTCCCTTCCAACCTGGGGCACTCTCTGACCCAGCAACCCAGCGCCCTGCGTTTTGTGTTGTGAATACTGGAAGGGGAAGGGATAGGAAACTGTGGGGATTTTATAAATGTTTGTTTTTTTAAGGTGAGCTAAACAAGTTTCTGTGAGTATTTTCTTACAGCAGCTGAGATTGAAAAATGAAAAATGGGAGATCCGCAGCGTTGTGCTCACTCCGTCATTTTTAGCTCTCCTTTCTTGTCCTGATCATTTCTGTTTCAGTGGCAAAATAGGAAAAGGGTAAGAATAGAGGCAGGGAAGAGTAATAGAGGGAGTGATGAGGAGCAATGCTTCAGTCGGGAAGCTGATGGCGCGGCGGCTGCTGCCATCTATTGGCTCTGGCAACTAAGGAGCGGAGGGGGAGAGTCCCGCTGCCTGCGCTGCGTGCTTCTGCGGAGCCGGCTATTAGCTAATGAGCGTCCCCTGCGGAGCTGTGGGACTGCTGACGGGACTTCAAAGCAGAAAAAGTCTGGTAAGGCATTGCTGGTCGCACAGGGGAAGGCTCTCAGGTGTGCCTCTCTGGGGCACACAGCTCTGCTGAGGGGGCTTCCCGAGCCCATCACAAATAAGGGCACCGTGCCTCTTTCTTTCAGGTTTATTGGTCTGGAATAGAAAAGCCTCTGGGCTTGGCAGCAGCCTCTACTCCACAGGGGACGCAGCAAAATGACCTTCCCCTGCTGTGCCTTGTGCTGAGGGGAAGCCTGCCCCACACATACACGATCCAGGAGGGCTGGGGGTCTGGGATGTGGGACAAGCTGGGGACATTAGAAGCTCACAATACGTCTCCTCGTGTCCCCTTGTGTGGTGGGAGCCTGGAACCAGCCCCCTCCTCCGGTCCCAGTGCAGGCAGGAGGGAACCAGCCAGAGGTGGGCTGGGAGGAGAGTCCTGAGGGGTCACTGTTATTTATGAGTTGTTATTCCTATTTAGCAGAGGACGTGAGCTCTGTGCTGCCTCTGCACTCCCATCACTTTGGAAGGATCAAGGCAAGGAGAGGTTTTCCATGACAGCTCCAAAACCCACTACACATCTCCCACAACTGCTCCAAAGCCACATTAGTACCACAATGGCCACACGGAGAGTGCGAAGGAGGCTGCGAATCCCAAACCAAACAGTGAGGACGAGAGCACAGCAGCAGCCCCAAGTGCTGCGGGCCCCACGATCAGCACAGGCGTTGGGCAGCAGCGGCACAGCTGGGGGCTCCGAGCCGCACGGCTGAGCCGCACCGCCTGCTGTCCAGCAGTGCTGACTTCCTCCGCCCCGACTGCAAACAATGCGAGCTGGGAGAGGCGCAGGCCTCAGCACTTCTGAGCATCAAACGCTGAGTTCAGCTGGGCACAGCCCCGTGGCCGTGTAACCCTTCGCTCGCCGGATGGAGCGCGTTCCCCTGTGCGGAGCAGCGCCTTCGGGCTGCAGTGCGCTGCACAGAGCAGGAGCTGCGCTGCAGGTGCCCGTCACAGCCTGCCCGCTGCAGGTGGAAGCAGGAACAGGAGCGCAGGAATGAGGAAATGCCCCCACCGCACTCTGCCCTATGCCCGGCAGCGCTGCTGGCGCGGGGGGGGGGGGGTCGCAGAGGGTGGGGGAGGAAAGCACGGCTCTGCCTGGCATCGAGCATCAAAACCACGGATGAGAAATTTGTTTGACCTGAAACAAAACGCTCCATCGCGTTTGTTTGCTTTGTCCCTGCTGCCGTCAGGCTGGGGCTGATTTCCTTTTTCTTTCAGGTTCCCTTCTAGAGCACAAAGTGAGAAGCAGGGAGGCTTCATTTTAAACCTGCCACGGAATGGTCAACTTCTGCGCACTCCCCAAAGGAAACGGGAATGGTGGAAGAGATTGTTAACCCTTCTGTTGTTTTCCATGTGGCACAGGATTAGCAGTGGGGCTCTCCCCAGAGACGGCGCCCCACCAGCGTGCTGGGTGGATTATGGCAGGGCAGTGTGCTGACCTCTGCTCTGCTGGGAAACAGAGGCTCCTGAGACGATAAGTGGCTCTGGGAAGAAATTCCTTTCCCCATGTGAGGGAGTGGCGGCACTGGGCACACTCGCGGGCACGTCTGCACCTCTGCACACACGGGGACCTGACGTGGAGAGGTGGGAGCTGAGGTTCTGTGAGGAGGACGCGGTGTGGGGCCCTGCAGATCAGGTCAGTATGGGGCAGGACGGGGCAGGACGGCCATACCTTGCTGGCTAGGTGCTGGCCGGCCCCAGCTGAGCAAACACAGCTGGGAAGCAGTTCTTGCAGGTCCCTGGAGCAGCTCAGTGTGGGGACACAGAAGCGTAGATCCATATTAGGATTATTAGTCCTGGTGGAGTTTGGGGTTACAGATAAGGGGGTTGTGAGCACACCAGAGAGGAGTAAATTTGTCTGAGGTCTTTCGTATTCAGGAGCCAATGGGAGAGTGAAAGGAGAAATCACACCAGCAGTCTGTAAATCTAGCAAAGTGGATTTGGTGCCAGGAGCATGCAGCTGTCAGACAGCCCCAGAGATTGGCAGTGCTGCATCCCTGGGTGAGGGGTGCTGGGCAGCCCCCACCTCCCACTCAGTGCCCTGGGAGGGACACACAGCTGGCAGCAGCGCTTGCTGGGGCTGCACAGAGAAGGGGGCCCTGGGGGTCAGCAGTGGGCTGTACCAGATGGGATCCCACAGCATTGCTCTGCAGCCTTTCCTAATTTGGGAGGCTGGGTTGGTATCAGCGACAGTGAGGGCTGTGCATGAGTCCTGGTGCTACTGAGGTACTGAGTGGGAGAGAGCATTGGGAGCGGTTTGGGCTGCTGGCCAAAAGGAAAATTACATTCCAGGTCGGACATGAGGTTTACTTTTACCTGTAGAGGGGTGGGTTTGGTCCCTACGTTGTCTAGATAAAAGCACAGAGATTTCAAAACAACAAATGAAACAACATCTTTGTCCTCCATGCAGAAGGATTTGACAGCAATTTATAAATAGATATTGCTAAAACAAACAGCACCCTGTGTGAAGCAACAAGATTGTTAGAAAAGAGATGCCTCGATGCAGCCCCAAACCAGCAGAACCTCATTGCAAAGCTGTGCCTGGCATTGCACAGACTTGGGCTGTGCTTGTGCAACCTGGGTGCTTTGGGAGCCTTGCTGGGAGCTCAGTTCCTCCTTCAGCCCTCACAGTGTCAGTGCATCTCTAGGTCGACTGCAGGAATTTTCTAAATCTGGAGCTTTCTGGGACATGGTTCAGTGGGAGCAGGCGGCCTCCTTGCCAGGGGCAGACTGTGTCCCAGCTGCTCACCTTCGCGCCGGTCCTCCTCTGCACTGGAAGGATCAGTTCAGTGTTGGCATGCTGGGAAATAACAGTGGTGTTTGGCACTTGCACTGAGGGCTGCAGCAGGGAGGGTGAGAAGGATGGGTGGCAGTTCTAATGTTTTGGTGCTGCATGGCAAGCAAGGCATTGCCGTGGTGGCAGTCAGCCCCTTCCTAAAGGAAAAGTGCATTCTTAGAAGCCCAGTCTACCTGTGATTTGTCTCCCTAGAGTTTCTTTTGTGGTGTTTTTTTTCTTTCATGCAGGGGCTGTGTTGACCTTTCCCAGGGATGCTTTGCACACCTCTGCCACGTGTAGCACACTGAGGCCACCCAGCGGGTCCCACTGTTGTAGCCTGGGGAAGGTCAGAGCGTGTGAGCAAAGAGAGAGCCAGAATCCACCACGGGCAGCCCGGAGAGTGCGCAGCCATCTGATCAGTCCTGCTGGGTTCATGCTGGGGTTCAGACAGCTCTGCTGATCCACAGACCAGCCTCGCCAGCCCTGAGCGAGCCGGCTCTTTGTGTTGCAGAGACGGGCGGCTCGCTGGGCCATAGCTCTGCCCATGAGCTGAAGGCAATGCAGGAGTGGATGGAGGGCACTGGAGGAGCTGCAGGTGGTGCCAGCAGGTGAGGGGTGCTCGCAGCGGCACTGGGAGTGGGGTGCTTTGGACAGGGGAAAGATCGGGGCTGCAGATCTCCCGATAGCCAGGCTGAAGCTTGGTGCTCCAGCAGGAGGAATGAGAGGAATGTGCCACGTGGGCCTGGTGACAGGCGCCCAAAGACGAGGGTGAGAGCACAGCCTGGGGCAACAGTGGGGCAGTGATGCTGGCCGGTGGGATGTGCCCAGCCCCCGCCTTGCTGGCACACAGGGCCCGCTCTGAAAGCCCATTGTACATTGTGGATGGGCTGAGCTGCAGTAGAGCTGGTGGTGAGAGGCTCGCTTCCTCTGGCAGCACAGCAGCAGCCTGCCGGCTTGGGGCTGGTGGCGATGCTGGACACATGGGCTGCTGCTTGGGGGCCCTTTGGCACCAGGACCTGGCCCTGGGGTGTACAGGTAAGCTATCTGTTGGGAGGCCACAGCCCTGCTCTGTTCAAATGGGTCTGTGGGACATAGGGGTGTCGTGGTGCTGCTGGGGAGGTCTCATTGCTGAGTGCTGGTTTCCTTTGTTTGGAAGGCTTGCAGGGCCCTGGGGTGCTGCAGGAGGCTGGCAATGCAGGGAGAGCCAGGGAGCGCCAGGAGAGGGGTCAGAGAGCCTGGAAACACTCTCAGCTGGGGCTGGGGCTGCTTCCTGCCCCATATTGCAAAATATTTCAGCACTTGGGAGGTAAATGAGTCAACAGCACAACTAGGAACAACTCTCCGCCAGCAGTTTCAATTGGTCTCTTGAAAAATTCGCTAGTTCCCTTTCTGAGTCGGGCCCAAATGAAAATAACCACTGAAGCAGCAGCCAGCACCGCTGGGAGCAAACCCACTTCTCTTCTCACCCACGGGAGCCCTTGCTCTGTCCATTTGGCCCTCTCAGTGGGGAGCCCCAGCATGCCTGGTTGCACCGCTGGCAGTGCCAGCATGAGCAGTGCCCCATCTGCCCCCTCCTTCACCTCGGCTGCCTCTCAGATGCCACGAGAGCCCTTGGGCTGGGAGCATCCCACCCGGGGTCTAAATGCCTCTCCCCACTGCTCCTCTCCCCCAGCTGAGGAGTGTGAGTCCTGCTGTCCCCGCTCGCCCCTGCTCCTGCCACACTGGGACTGCCTGCAGCACAGCGCAGCCAAGCGCCGGGGACGATGGTGGTGGGAGAAGACCATGGCATCAGGTACCTGTCCTCGGGAAGGAAGAACCATGCTGAGGGGCTGCTGGGCCGTGGGCTGAGGGGAAGGGAGGGACGTGGGAAGGAGGCATAGCCCAGCCCTGGCAGCAGGCACTCTATTTCAGCTCTGCCTCCGTCTCCTTTTGCTTCCCAGCCTCCATTTCCCCATGCAGGGGTGGGGCTGGGGAGGGGGGGGGGGGAAGGAGTTCCTGGATGAAGTCCTTTGTTAAGAGCTCTCACATCAGCTGTTGAGAAATGTAGAGGATTTTCTTTCAAAGAAAAGCCCATTAATCACATGTCCAGCCTTGGGCCATTCTTTGCTGTTGACTGTATATAAGGATTATAATTCTATTGTGGAAATAACAGTTTATTTGACTGCCTAGCAAAGCTGGCTAAATAATAAAAACTATAGAATATGGTGACAAAAGTGATTTAGCAAAGTCACTGCTCCAGATAGAACCACTGTTCCAGCTCCAGATAGAATCATAGAATCATTAAGATTGAAAAAGACCTCTAAGATCATCTAATCCAACTGTCCCCCTACCTCCAGTATTGCCCACTAACCACTGCCCAGTTCAGATCTCTGGGTATGTTTGTCTAGTGAGCTCTATCTGATTGCTGACAATAACTGCTTTTCAATCTTGTTACCCCTCCACAGCCAATACAGCTGTGGAAGAGTGAGATGGATTTTTACGTGCCACAGTCATCATTAACATAAATATCAGCTAAAGTTTCCTCTCCTGAATCGTCTGTGGCAATAGTTGATGATGTGTGAAGCAGAGAGAAAGCAGCTTGGATTTCAGATACCAACCAGAGCAGGCAGGAGAGAAAATACATTTTGACTGTCAGACTGATGAGCAGAGTCTGAAAGTTCTTGGCTGTGGGAGATCTTCAAAAAAACCTCTCTGCCATGGGATCACCAGATCTGCCCTGGGAGGACCTGTCCCTAGAGCAAGGAGGGAAAGTCCTTACCTCAAGGCCACTCCATCTCTGGGAAGGAGCAAGCTCACAGCTATCATGTAGGTAGCACACAGTAATGTTGCATCCAGCCCCAAGCATCATTTTAGGGTGATGCTGGATTCATGCAGCTCCCCAGCCAGACATGCAGCATGGCCCATGGACTTTGCTTTCAGGTGTTGTGTTTAGGCACAATGTCCAAGATTCCACCACAAAACTTGACAGTGGCTTTTCTGTGTTCCTGTGTAGGCAAGGCAGGAGCGTCAGAGCCAAGCAGCCCAGCTGAGGCAGCAGAAGGCTCCCCAGAGCCCTCCTCAGTGCTGCTGGCAGCTGGGGAGGGCTTTCCGCCAGGTAAGGTGCTGCCTTCAGCATCACCAATATCTCCAGCAACTTAAAGCAGCCTAGCACTGTGCTAACCAAGCACAGTCACCCCTTGAGTTCCTCATCCATGTGTCTGGATGAGGAGGATGGGATTGGTTCACGCTACCTCAGGCTGAGCCCTGATGATGCTGATGTATTGCATGGAGTTCCTCCTCCCCTCTAACCCTGTACATTTCCTTTTCAAGAGATCTCACTCTTCTTCTCCATTGAGAGCCGCTCCTCACGGTGCCCCAATGCCCAGCTGCAGGAAGCAGCCAGAAGGAAGCTGTGGGCCTTGGAGAGTGACGACAGACATGTCTGTGCTCTGTTCAAGGTAGGAGAAGAGCACGGCACAGGGGGACTCCTGGCCTGATGGCATGGAACATCCAACCCACTGGGAAGTTCCCCAGCATGTGCTTCTACACCCTGGCGTCTGATTTTCTTGCCACACTGCCAAAGGAGACCCCATGTTCAACTCCCAGCCCTTCAGTCTTGCTTTGTCTCCATGTAGGAGCTATCAGCCAGGCTGCTGTGCATACAGGCACAGGAAGATCGGTTCCTTCTCACCTTCAAAACCCTGGAAGAAGTCTGGAAGTTTTCCACGTATTTAACTTTAGGTAATGTTTTCAAGGTGGGGTGGATACAAAAAAAAAAGTGTGAAGAGCCTTTTTGGAGAAGGTATTCTGTGACAACAAATAAACGCAGTTTAACAGAGAGAAGAGCTTAAAGTGAAAGGAATGTTAATCAAAGGGCCTTGGTATTCATGCACAGATTCACAAAACCACTCTCTGGAACAGTGATAAAGATTTGGGAGGTTGTATTTTGGGTAATTCCTCTATTGCACCTCTGCTGCAAATGGCAGACTGGGAGACACCCGAAGAGCAGCTTGTGCTGCCCAGCAAAGCAGGGTGCTGATGCTGCTTCCCCTCTGTTTTTAGGCTATGTAGGCCGCTGCTTGGAGCAGCTTCTCTTTGAGCAGGAGTACTGGCTGAACTGTGCACTGGTGGAGGACACGGAGATCAGAGTGTCCATGGATGAAAATCGCTTGGCCACCATATATCTGGGTCTGCTGCTCCAGGAAGGTGAGGAGGGATTGCAGGGCTGTGGTGTAGCCCTCTTCTGGGCTCTGCCTTGCACCAATGCCACTGACCTGGCCATGACTCTTTCTATCCGCAGGTCACTTTTTTTCCAGAGCAGTGCCTGGTGCATGCCAGCCAGAAAGGGAGGGAGAGGAAGGCCTGCAGTTCTGCAGGAATGAGCTGGTCCATGTGAAGAACATTGGAGAGGATTCCAAATGGGAAGGGATGTCCTTGCTGACAGGCCAACGAGGCCTGGTGCCTGTGACTGCCCTAGAGCCAGTACCTCACCCATTCTACCAGTAAGTAGAAGTAGTAAGACAGGCAATCAATGGTGCTCAAGCCAAGCATCCATTCCCGACTCACAGCTAGCACCAAATCAGGACAACAGAGGAGCTGCTCTTACCTCTGGCATCGGGCAAGAGCCCTATAACCTTGAGAATATGCACTATGCATTGAGATGACCGGAACCAGTTCAGGTTCTGTTATTGGGGTAGAGCAAGGACTTAGTTCAGGTGCCATTCTTGTATAGTATTGATTTAGGTCATACACAGGATTACTTGTGATAACTAAAAAACATCCTGAATCTTAATGCCGGTCAAAATGTGGCCTGATGTTTCACACCTTGCTGAGTCATGAAGATATGCACAGATCTTATACTTTTACTGGTGAAATCCTCCTTATGGGCTGGCAAAATCATCCTACACTTTCCACAAGGTGTGAAGCTGCACATGGGAGTTGTGAGCTGCCCTCCATGCCCCATACCACCATGGCAAGGCATGGCTGGACTGGCAGTACTTTCCATCTGCTCTGCTTGTTTGAGACCATCCCTGGGAGTGGCTTGAAGGCTGCTTGGAGAGGATCAGCAAGGTTCCCTTTTACCTTACAGGTGGTTCCTGAGGAATTACGCCATGAGTTTTGGCATCTCCAAGGAGATCAGTGAGTCAACCTCTCAGCCGATTGGTGAGTGATAACCATGTAGGGTGGCTGCCCTTCCCAGGGATGGACATGGCTCATAAAGACCTGGGTTTGGTCCGAAATGCAAAGGGCCCATCTCTTGATCTGACAATGGCACCACGTTGTGAGGTGCTGCACTGGAGTATTGCATCCTCAGATTCTCCTATACATTTGCACTGTTAAGGATTTCACTCCTAGCAGAAAGTTGACAGTCCATCTCCTGTGAAACTACAGCAACTTCATTTTTCCAGCTGCCTTCACTAGTGCAGCTCCCAGAGGTTTCACTCTTTGGCTTTGTGGGGTTTTACCTATGCCTTCTGTATATTTTATCAAAATATTTTTTCTCAAGAAGAAACTGTAGAGGTCTGAGCCTGAGAGCACAACAAATCTTGGGGAACAGAGAAGCAGTCTTCTCAAGATGACATCATGCTCTTTTCACCTAAGTCTTTTCGAGCAAGGAAGTTTTAACAGTGATCCTCACAATGAAATGCCATTGTTTGCTTTTGTTTCCCAGTCAAAGGCAAGTGCACAGCCACAGTGGATCACAGAGGAGCAGCATGGGATGAACTGAGTTTCTCCAAGGGAGACAGCATAGAAGTCATTGGCTTCCTCCTCCCAGGACTCCCGTGGTTTGTGGGCAGATCTTTAAGCAATGGGAACATCGGCTTTGTCCCAGTGCAATCCGTAAATGCTGAGGCTTGTGAATCTCTGTAAGTTTACTGTTGCTATCTGAATTTCAAGTTGGGTGGAAAAGATGGGTCAACTCCGAGTCCCAGCTCGAGGCTATGAGAGTCCAGGGCAGGTAGTTTGCTTTGCAAAGACTTTGTAGAGGATCCACGTGAGGTCTGTCCAGAAGCCTCACCCAGGCTGTTCTGCCAACAGGCTGCAGGAGTCTCTGCCCAGACAAAGCCATCATATTTCACTTGCTTCAGGTGATTCTTGGAGAGGAAAAAGGTCTGGCTCTGGGTTAGAGCTGGATAAGGCAGCCCAGGACATCTATGTACCAGATGAGCTGGCTTCACAGTCTCAATCAGAAATGTTCTTGTCTTAGTAGCTTTTCTCTGAGGGGCTGTGAGTCTGGCAAGGATGGGGGCTCTGATAATTGCTCAGAAAACAGAATTTTTCTTTGCTTCCTTCTGCCCCCTTGCCTTCTGTGGGGTGCAGCTACTGGCACAGTTCCTCTCTGAACAGAACTGAATGCCAGGCTAGGGACAGGGACAAGGGCTATCTGAGGAGCATGGCTGGCAACTGCACTCTTAGGACACAACAGCTGTCTTTGCTGCTGGCTTAAAGACACCTCCAGTTCAATACCCATCCAAAAAGGCTTTTCTTCCAAGACTACATATGGAAGAATGGAGTTCTTAAGGAGTTCTTAAGCTGTTGCTAGGTCTGTCTGCTTCTGTTGGGCTTTCCTGGGTCAGGTTCACTCAAGATAAATCTCAGGCAATTTTCTCTAACACTACAGAACAGCAGAGACACTGACTGTTTTTCCATATTACACACCTTAACCTAGAGAAAAGGGATTGGTGTTTCTGAGCGAAGAAGAAAACTTGCCCCTCCTGCGCATCCCCTGCAATGGTGGTGAGCAGCACTTTGTCACCCTCCTTGGAGAGCTGGCACGCACTGACATCACTTCTGTGTACCGCCTGGGTGAGTTCCCTCTCCTTACTTAGCTCCACTGCTCCCGTGGAAAGCACAGCTCTATTTCCTGCCTTTTCTCCATGATTGTGCACTAAGCCAAACTCCAGAATATAAAGGGGCTAAAACTGCAGCTTCATGTGGTGTCTGTGGCCAGAAGTGACCCTGCTCTCTGAGACATGGGTCTGGGGCAGGTTTGAGTGCTGTGTCTGCACACTGACACTAATCAAGCCTATGGGCTGTTTGTTTTGTCTCTTTATGTAGATGGTTTTGAACCCACAGCCATGTTCCCGAAAGCGCCATCAGGTGAGTGTATGGAGAATGTCTTTACAGTGATGCCAGAGAGTGAATTCTGACACGGAGAAGTGTCCCACTGTAGTTTTCCTATCTCCTTCCAGAGGCTGTTCTCCATGGCTGTAAGGACACCCAGTTGCTCCAGTCCTGGGAGGAGATAAACAGCTTAGTCACAGCTAGCACCTCGGAGCAGTCCAGCCCAGGGAGTGAGTCAGCCCCTGCTACATGGGAAGATGTTCTCCTGGACAAGCTGAATGATTTTGATGATCCCAAGTTCTTCATTGACCTGAATGCTGGACACATGGAAGATGCTGATGTCTTTGAACCCATACTGACCTTCCTTAACCAAGACAGTTATATGCTCTGTTATCAAAGCCTCTATGATCTCAGTTTCTCCTTTCTCAACTCCACTTTTTATGGTTTCTCTGATGAGGATGAACTGGTCTTGTACCTTGAGACATCCAGGAACTGGGCCAAGAGGACTCATTCAGTTTGGGCCCATGTCAGGCTCTGTTTCCTCTTGGGTAAGCTCTGTATGAAAAAAGTCAAGTTCTCCCAGGCTCGAGTCTATTTTGAGGAAGCCATGAGCACCCTGGGCAGGGGCCTTGGGGACCTGCCCCTGCTGGCTGCCTTGCACGTGAACCTTGCTTCCATCTACCTGAAACAGAACATGAAGAGCAAGTTCTTCTCCTTGCTGGGAAAAATGGTGGCCTTGCTTGTTTGCTTGCCCGGCCGCTCCTTCAGCTCTGAGCACGAGCTGAGGGTCATGATGTACGTTCTGAGGGAGGCCATTGCTGTGGGGAACACTCCTCTGGAAGCACGGGTCTGCTTCCTTATCGTCAAGCTCTTCCTCCAGCTGGGAAAAAATGACGAAGTACTGCCCTTTATTGAACACCTTCAATGTCTCTGCACCACTTCACTCAGCCTGGACGCTAGTGCTGTGCCGCTGGATGCCACCCCCATCCTGAGCTATCTGTATGACAAGAAGTACTTGCCAAACATTGCACTGGCATCTGCCAGGTCTTTTGTTCCCAGTGGCATCAAAGGGGCACCAACGCCCATTTGGAAAGCTGGCTTCATCCTCCAAAATGTGTCCAAGCTCCTGGGAAGCCAGCTGGAGAGGAGCAGCATCCCAGCCTTGGTGTGTTCCTACCTCAAGCAAGCACTGCACTTCTCCTGTGAGAGCAGAGCAGTGACCACCCAGAGGACTCTGTGCACTGTTTTGTCCCGGATGTACTTCCAGCACGGTGTGCTGGACGGGGCGGTGTGCTATGCAGCCCAGGCTGTGGTTTTCAGCAGGCTGATAGGCGAGGAGGAGGCTTTTGAGTCCTCCCTCTCTTTGGGGTGGATGTACCTTCTGAGCAGCCAACCAGGCCTGGCCGCAGACATCATGGGGCAGCTCCTACATTCCCTGCATGGGACAGACAGTGTGACTCAAGGTGGAGCGGTGCACAACCTCCTCGCCATTGCCCTCAGAGGAGCAGGGCAGGTGCAGGAGGCCACAGAGAACTACATCCGGGCACTGCACAAAGCCAAGGAGACTGGGAACAAGAGGAATCAGGCTATCGCCCTGGCCAACCTGGGGCGGCTGAGCCAGTCGTGTGGGGCGAGTCAGCTGTCTGAGCTCTACCTGCTGCGGGCTGCCCAGCTGTATGCTGAGCTGCAGGGCAGCGAGGAGCTGGAGCTGGAGTCGGTGCATGTGCTGCTGTGGCTGGCACAGGCCATGGTCAGCAGGCGGAAGATGGAAGATGGCAAACTCTGTTATGAACTTGCGCTGGTTTTTGCCCTGAAGTGGCACAACGTGAGGAGTGAGTACAGCTTTTCTGGCAGGGATGGGGCAGTGCTCGCCTCAGTGCAGAACTCCATCAGATCCCCAACACAGCCCTTTGAGCTGTCTCTTTCCCTTCCCTCTACCATGCAGGTCAGCTTCATGTCACTGAGGCACTCTGCCATTTCTACAGCCAAGTGTGCCCCAGCCTCCAGGCCTGCATTACCTACCATGAGCACCGGGTCTCCTTGGCACAGAAACTCCAGGACAGAGAGCTAGAAGGCAATGTCCAGCAGACCCTCAGCCAACTCTATCAGGCTTTGGGCACCCCTGAGTAAGTCCTGAGCATGGCTGTTTCCTGTGCAGATGCTGTTAGAGAGGGGTCTCCGCTCATCCATGCAAGAGCAGTGGCTTTTCCATGGTGTTCACAGCAGAGTCCCTGCAGGGAGGTGGGGTGCTCGCAGGTGGTGGGTGGTGAGTGGCTGAGATCTGGGAGCTTCCCTGTGCTCTGCAGGAAGAGCTCAATGTCAGCCAGATCGCAGGGACAGCCAGCAAATGCTGTGCTGCTAGCTGGGATAAAACTGGGGGATGGCCAAACATAGCTTTCCAGAGAGACATCCAGCCTTCTTCAGAGGGGACCTAGTGACAGGGAATTCATCACTTCCTTTGGAGGCTTATCCCAGTGATTAATCACCTCTCACTAGTAAAAATAGACTCCTTATCTGTTATTTAAATAACCCTGGCTTCAGCCTCCAGCCACTGAGCTTGCCTTTCCTATTGCTACTAGAATATTTTCCCCAAGAATACACTTCAGACCTCGTATCAGCTCACCTTTTAATCTCCTGTTTGACACATGCAGGTGATGGATTAGTTTAGGCAGAAGGGAAGAAGAAGATGTGGATTAATCACAGGTTTTCTTCAGTTTTTCGAGGCAGACATGTCAAACAGTGGAGGGCTGGCCCCTGTGTCCCAGAAGGATAAGTGGGCAGGGGCTGTCCCTAACTGGACGTTCACCTTCCCACTCTGGGTCACTGTGAGTTCAGAGGGAAGGAATTTAGGAAGCAGACGCCTGTCATGTGAGCAATGCTATTTCAGTTCCAAAGCACCCAGGTCCCTGGAAGGACAGCTGGAGCACAGTTTCAAGCAAGATACCAAGCTAGCAAACATACCCTGGGCACTGCCCCCACCCCTGGCCACAGCCACCTTCTGCAAGCAGCATGTCCAACCTAACACCTCATCCTGCTGCCTGCCCTTTGTCCTCTAATGGCATTGGGCTTGAGAAGGAGACAGCTGGCCTTGCATGTGTGGCACAGAACTGTCCTTCTGCCAGCACCAAGGGACAAACAACAGTCACAGATTTGGTTCTGGGTGGCAGACGTTGGCTGGGAAGTGAAGGTGTGGTGGCAGCTCTGCAGCTGGTTGCTGTCATCCTGTGATTCCTCTGTAGTGTTTTCTTACCTGTTACCACCACAGGGCTTTGAGACAGTCGCTGGACTGCACCAAACAGAGTCTGAGGATCTTCATTGACCTTGAGGAGACAGGCAAGGCAGCAGAGGCCTGGCTGCAGGCAGGAAGGCTGTACTATCTCATGCAGGAAGACGAGCTGGTGGAAATGTACTTTCAGGTATGAGAGAGGTGTCTGGAGTAATCCCATTCCCAGCACCAATGGTGCTGCATTCCCATCACAACTGTGTGGCTCAGCAGGAGCCATTTGGGGCTCAAAAACTTGGAAGGGAAAGTTCTTCTCATGAGCATAGGACACCTGCTTCTGGAAGGAGGAGCTGCTGCCTTAGCATTCGTGCACTATCTGGCATTAAATGTCCTAACTTTCCTTTCATACACAGGTTTTAGAGGATTCTTGGGTGAAAGTTTGTGAATTCATTGGGACAGAAAGTGATGAGAGGGTGTCAAAGAAAGAGGGTGATGAGTTCCCATTGAAATGCACATAGATGAGGGTTGAGGTGCCAGGGAAGTGCTTGAAGACTTCTTGGAGCAGAAGGCTACTAGCTTCTTTCCATCTGCAACATTATTCTATCAGATGAGCTGCAAAGAGGAAAAGCTTCCACAAAAATTTTAGAGCTCTATCATTCAAAGAGCAGTTTCTATTAAAAGATACAAAATCCTTCCACATGCCCAAAGAAAGCTGAGCAGAAGGCTGGCTGGGTCTGCTGGCATTGCACTGAACTGGGGTCCAGAAAATCACCAGTCTGAGCACACATAAGGGATGCTTTGGGTCCTCACTCTGTTACCCTGGAGGCAGTACTGAACTGGTGACTGTGCAACTGAGCTATCATGGTCAGTGGCACTGACAGATTGTAATGATGGAAAGGGTATTCTCTGGCTGGAGGATGGCATCATGGCAGGGTGTACAATTGGCACAAATATCTGTTCTTCCCAGAAGCTCGTATACCTGCCATCATTCCCATCCCACTGGCTCTACCTTTTCCCTGTCCTGGTATCTCTTCACCTTGCCAGTCTCAACATTGCCTCCACCACTGTAATGACAGAGCAGGCAGGCTGTGGCTGCCCTGACTCTCATCCTGATTTCATGGGATGCCCCAGCTGGTCAGTCTGGCACTCTGACCCTGCACAGGGACACGTATAGCTCTTGGCTCCACACTCAAATGTTGCTTACAAATGCAGCATGACAGTCTCACACACCTTGCCAACCTGTGTCTGTGCTGTTTGGAGCATTGAGGTTCAAGTGCAGGATGATGTGGTTTACTTCATCGCTCTAAAATGTGCGTGAATGTCCCTTTCCAAGTCTCACTCCAGTTCCTTTTCCTTCTAGGCAGCTATTGAGACTGCTCTGAAAGCTGAGAACTTCTCCTTGGCCATGGATCTCTATGAAAAAGCAGGCGATAACTTTTTTAATGGCAGCCGGCACAGAGATCGAGCAGTGGAGTTTTACAGGGTACTGACCCCTCTGAGCATGTTCCTTATGTCCCTTCTAGGTGACGACCATGGGGAACTGCAGCACTGTGTGGCCACGATGGAGGGATGGGGTGGAAGGTGGAGAGAATCATCAGAATTCTGAGTGTGCATCTGCGTAAACTTTGCTAGGAGGCATCTCAGAGCACCCATTTTGCAATAGCTGCAGATCTCCCCAGAGGTCATTCTGCAGGGTGGGAGCAGGGTTGTGCATTACCAATCCTGGCAGCTTCAGATGTGGGATGGTCATTCTGGGTATGTGCTCAGAGACAGAATTTCATGCACTTAAGGAAAGGAAGAGATGAGAGGCTCAGCTTTTGAGGACCATACTCTGGGATGTCGAACTCATGTTAAGGGTTAGAACTGGGATGCCCAGAACCCAGCCACCCCACTGTCTGCCTGCCTTGCCAAGGGCTCAATTCATCTCTTGCTGCACTTCTACCCTTCTGTGGGCAGTGCTGTAATCATACCTCCAGGAACACACCAGACTCACTGTTCTCTTACCAGGGTGGTGCAGTGCCCTTGGCCAGGAAGCTGCAGGCCATTGAGACAGAGCTGCGGCTGTTCAATAAGCTGACGGAGCTGCAGATCGGGCTGCAGGGCTATGAGAAGGCGCTGGAGTTTGCCACGCTGGCAGCCAGGCTGAGCATCAGGGTGGGTGAGTGATGCAAACCCAAGGGTACACGGAGCTGCTGGCAAAGCGGGCTGGCTGTTGGGTAAGACAGCATGCACATGCAGGGAAGATACTCCTGCTTTCATAAGTGCTCTGGATCTATTCTTATCCTAAGGGTAACATCTCTTTAAGGCCACTTCCCTTTTTAAGCTGTGTGACAGTCCCACAGGAGTGGGGGCACTGCTGGGCAGAGGGCTATTGCTACACCAGAGCACAGGAAGTCTGATGAAGGCATGAGACTCAACAGTTCCTCTTTGCCCTAGCTGTTCCAATAAACCCAATAAACCCTCTTTCCACTGCAGAAGTAGGTCTAATGGCCAGCATTATGCCAGCATAAATGTCTGAGATGAAACCAGTCTTGTCATAACACTTTCCAGCACCAAGAAATCCCCTTTTTGAATGATACACTCCCTGGGCAACTTGTCTTGCATTGGTATCAGCAGCCCTGCCCTTGGCTTTGTTTTCTTTGGACTGTTTTCAACCATAGTGTCTCCTTATGAAGAGATCTATGCCCCAGGGCTGTTGATCAAATGCAGCTCGGTGTGCTGGGCTGGGAATGATTTGTGAGCATGCTGCAGGCTGACTATATCAGCAACTCTTTTCTAGGAGATCAATTGCAAGAGCTGGTTGCATTCCACCGCCTGGCTACAGTCTACTATTTTCTGCAGATGTATGAGATGGCTGAAGATTGCTACCTGAAGACACTTGCCCTGCATCCCCCCATGCTGCAGTGCTCTGGAGAAGCCCTGTACTACTGCAAGGTGTATTGCCACCTTGGCAACCTGACCCTGCACAAGCTGAAGGTAGGAAGCTGCTTTCTGTGGTGCTGCTTTGAGCTTTCAGATCTTGATCTTGGTCTAACAGTGATAGGACAAGGGGAAATCACTTTATAAGAGGGGAAATTCAGGTTAGAGTTAGGAAGAAATTCTTTACCCAAAGGGCAGCGAGGCACTGGCACTGCTGCCCAGAGCTGTGAGTGCTCCATCCCTGGACGTGCTCAGGGCCAGGTGGGATGGGACCCTGCAAAGCCTGATCAGGTGAGAGACAACCAGCCCACAGCAGCGGTTGGAAGTGGATGGGCTTTAAGGTCCCTCCCAACCCAAGTCATTCTAGGATTCTATGACAGGGGGCTGGAGGTGGAAAACCACATCTGCCAGCAGAGCAGCCACCCTTGTAGGCAGCTTTAGAATAAGTACACACAATGCTGGCTTCTCCAGGCTTTGAGAGGCAGTGTGGGAAGAAATGTGCTGACCCTTTGCACTGGCTGTGCAGAGCCCGTTTCACTCAATTGAAGCCCACGACACTCAGGCGTCATCGGGTTCTGTCTCTTCCCCTTTCAAACTCTGTGATCATCTGTCATTGGGGCAGTGAATATATGGCTTCTTTATCATACATTCCTGCCATTGGAGAACCACTGGGCTCTTCTGCAGCATCCTTGCACCCTATGACCTCACATTAAACTACTTCCTAACACTCTGTTCTTTATGGTTAGGATGAACAGGACGCAGCAGCCTACTTCCTCCTGGCCCTCGCTGCAGCCATTGAGCTGGGAGATGTGGAGTTGCAGGGCCTCATTGGTGCCAAGCTGGCCAACATCTCCAGAGCCCTGCAGCGACCCGTGGACGTGCCAGGCTGTGCCACGTACCGGGCCAGGTGGCTGAGTGAAGGAGGCCACGTTGTCTGATCAAATGGACGTGTCACCATGAGATGCTCATGATCCACGTGTTCTCCAGAAGCAGCAATCAGCAGAGGTCCTGCCACCAGCATGAGGGACTTGAGGCCCTGCCCACATTTATGTGTGCATGGCACTGCAGGCAGAGCAGGGCAGGATGAGGCCCCAGCAGCTGGTGCTGGAGCAGGAGTGCAGTTGTGTGTGATGGGGATGATAACAAGGTGCTGCCCGTCCCCACCTGGGACTCTGACCCGAGCGTGTATTAATTGGAATAGTAGCTCTTTATTTATCCTAGCTGTTTTCTGTGCTGTCTGCTCCATGCGGGTCTGTGCCCCGCACTGTGATACAAAGCACAGCCGCCCTCCCACAGCAGGAGGCAGGGATAGGGACGGGAAAACGCAGCGTTCGGGGCGGGGAGGGGAAGGCAGCCAGGAGGCAGCGAGGCGGCCGCTCACCGCCAGGGAGCAACCGAGCCCCGCGATTGCAGCTCGGACCGAAGGCTGGCAGCCCGCTGGGGCTTCACAAAGGGGCCTCTTGCAAGGCACCCCGTCTGACTTACGTGGTCCGCTGCTTGTAAATGCTGAACGCAGGACATTTATTTCCTCGCTGCACTTTGAAAACGCTGATTTCATTTTCCCCTTTCAAACTCTGTGAGCATCTGTCACTGGGGCAGTGAATATACGGCTTCTTTATCATATGTTCCTGCCATTGAAGAACCTCAGCCCTATGCTCAGAAGAGGTAAATCTCTGTTCCATGTGAAATACAGTGAGGTTTTGGGGGAGGCAGTGCAAGGAATCCCTTTGGCTCGTTCCATGGGCTCACATCAGGTGCCCGGTGCTCACCCAGAGAGGCCAAAATCTGCACAGCTGCATGCAGCCCAGCTGTGCACACATCTGGTGCTCAGCACTGGCTTTGTGGACCCTGAACTGATGCCCGAGGTCACCACGAGGCTGCTGGCCCAGCACCCTCTGTGGTCCTACTTCCCCAGGGCTTCAGCTGCCGGCACATTGAGCAGTGCAGCACTGTGGGACAGGAACTGTGCATGGGGGCACAGCTGCATGGGGCCATGGCCTCACAGATCTACACTAAAGGCAGGTCACTTTCTGTTGAGCACCAGTGAAAAAATAAGGGCTTTGTTTAAACATAGAGGGTCTGTGTTTCAGCTGATCTAAACCAGCTAACCTCCATGGAATCAAACATGTAGGGATTGTAGGTCTGGCCCACTGTTTTTAACCAAATGTGTGCTCTTTAAATCACAGCAAATGATTCTGTGGTGCCTGGGGGTAAGGGAGACTCACTCCTTGAGAACATCCCATAAAACACCATTTTCCCTCTCCTTCATCCACCAGCTCTCTTCTGCACAAAACTGGTCACTCATGCTGACACAGCAGCTCTGTTTTCCTGGTGAGATGAGAGGTCAAGGTAGCAAGTACTGATTAAACATCATAACAACACCGTGAAACTTGGTGCTTACCAGCTCCTGCGTCTGAAGCCACAGAGGAGAATTCTCCTTGCCTGGAGAGAAGTGCCAAGGAGAATTAGATGCTTTGGGGTCTTTACGGCAGAAGAGGTGACCTCGCCTGATCAGGTCCTGGAGCAGCTGGGCTGGGGGTTATCATCCTCTGCTCCTCCTGGGTGTGTTGGCATGACATCCATCACCCTGGGACACAGGGTGTGGGAGTTGGCTGTCTTTTAGGCACACCAAGGAGAAGCCCTGTGTGCGTGCAGAGCACAGTGATCGTGCAGGAGGAGTGCAACCCAAGGTGCTGCAGGACACTGAGGCAGATCAGAGCTGTGGCGGAGGAGCTGGGCTTTCAATGTCCATCCTATAGACACCGGTCACCAGTGCCCAGCCCTCCTCCATCAGCATGAATGTCATTATGGGCAGACAGAGGAAAAATTAGGGGAAAGGGTAGATAAAGTCTTCTCACATCCTCACATTCAGTGAGTGCTACTGAAGGAACCGCCAGCATCAGCACTGCCAGCCACCATGCAAGCCCACGTAAAGCCAAATCTGGCTGTTGGGTGCCTCAGGGGGCCATTCAAATCCTGGAATAAAGAGGGACTGGATTTCTTTAACATATGCTCATTCTTGAGCAGTGGAAATACCATGATAAGAATAATTCCTGGCTCATCGTAGCTCCGATGTTAGCCTCCAGAGGCACTAGGAAAAAAGGAAGTATTTGTAACTGCAAATATAGATATGGACAGAAGCATAATGATAGCTAGAGTTATTTGGATTACTTGGAAACTACTCTTTCTTGCAGAAATAGAACACCCAGCAGTAATAGCCACTACGAGCAGGCACCTTTCAGCATTCCCTCATCGCACAGTACTGCAAATCCTCACTGCCTGTGCTAGGTGGAGAGACCTTCCTATCCCCAGCTGTACCAGACACAGTATTCACCCACTGCAGACCTCAGGTCCTCCTGGGACAGTCAAGGGGTAGAAAACCTCTGAGTATGTCAGGGTCCAACAGTTGGGTGGGGGAGTGCTGCTGCTTGGGAGGGAAGTCTGAACTTGAGTGACGTGGGTAGGAGCCATCTCTCCCCTCCCAAGGCTCTGCACTTGCCCCCTAACCCCGACCTTAACCCTAACCAAAATAACCAACCCCAGCTGACCCTCCTGCAGCCTTGCAGGGAGCACACAGCAGCTCAGAGGGCTCTGCTGGAGGCCCGTGCTCACTGTGCAGCTGGGTAGGGCATCATTCATTAGCCCCAGATGTCAGCAGAGAAGTGCTGCTGGGCACACCCTGCTGCCAGGGCTCGTCAGGATGTGAGGGAGCAGTGTCTGGGACAGAGGCAAACCTGAGCTCTCCTTATCTCAGGGGCAGCTGTTACTCTGCAGACAGCGTCTTTCCACGTTGCTTGGAAAAGCAATGAGAAGTTGGTAAACACCAGCTGTTCTGCTGAGCAGGGCTGGGTGAGGTATGTAAGCTGGGCGATTTAGATTAAAAATCAGTTATTTACACAGCAACCTGTGTTTTTTGTTTGGTGATAATTGGGATCATAAATATGCATGCTGGGGGTGTGCTTGAGGTTCTGCACAGCAGCCAGGAGTCACTCACTGTGACTACATTTCTTTGGGTAAAGCCATGGTCCTCTGTATGGTGGCAAGGCAGGCAGGGTGCAGCAATGCTCCCAGCTCTCCTCATGGCTCCCCAGCTCAGCACAGCATCCCACCAGCCCTGGCTCCTCACTGGGAGGAAACCCGGCAGCACAAGGCTCCCTTGTCACAGCATGGAGACAACTGTAGGAAACCACGCGAGCGCCAACAAGTCCTGTCACTCTGCAAGGAGTAGAGAGGAAAAACAGATCAGGATTTGGCTGCCACAGAGCCTGCTGGGATGCAGTCCAGGATCTGGGATGAACACAAAGCAATTAGCCCCCGAGCACCAGAGAGGTTCTGCAGAAAGGAAGAATAAATTCTTACTTAACCAGCACACAAAGGGGCTTTGGTTATGAGTGGATTGTTATGGAGGGCTACTTTAATTTTGTTTCTTTTTCTTCTTTTCCTTTGCACCTGCTCTGACAGTGGCATTGGGACCATAAACGAACACATGGACACACAGGGAGCAACGCTGCGGCACTGATGGTGCTCAAGTTTAATTCTGCTTGAGGCGCCTCCAGCTCCTTGCAGCTGGTTTTCCACTTGCAGCATGACCTTCCCCCATTGCTGCCCAAGATTTAAGTCATGCTTGATCTCAAAGTATTAGTATAATATTAATCAGGTTTAAAAAATTTAATGATTTAGAAAGGATTTGCAAGAGTTCCCAAATACCTCCTGTGTGTCAGGGCTGTGTTTTGCTAAAAAGTCTCCCAGGCTCTCCCCCAACCCATTCACAGGTGGGCAGGCTGTGCTGGAACATCACTGAAGTGCAAGGCACCTGCAGGGACACTGTGTGTTCCTCTTGGTGACAACACAGCCAAACTCAGTGAGAGCATCTGACCTCTGAGGCTGTCATCCATCATCTGTCTATGCTGCAAGGTATTCTGTACTGCAGAAGCTCCAGTCTTTGAGGGTGGCAGGAAATATTCTGGCATGCGGCACTTCTCTACCAGCTTTGTTTTCCTTTGACACTACCTAAAGTTTGGGATCTGCATCTTCTCCTCTCAAACCTCCTTGTCAGTTCTCAAGAAGCAGGAGCATTTCTCCCCTGCAATGGCCATCATGATCAACTAGTAGCCGTGAGCCCCTGCAGACTGTTGTTTCTGTGCTGTGCTTCCAGTGCTCTTCTTGGATTGGAAATCTCTTGATCTTACCTATCTGTTGTGTTTTCATGCAGGAAGAATACAGATAAAGAGACACTTAGGCAAAAATGTCTCTTACACACTTAAAAATCCAAACAATTTCTGAATGGACATCTGGCAGTTTTGTTGGCAGGAAGGCTGTTGCCTTTGGAAGCCAGCAGGCATCCCTTGGATGAAGCTGCAATCACTGGATCTGCAATCACATCTCATGGTGCTTTTATCCAAACCAAAAATCTGCTCCTGCCTCTCCTTGAAGGGTTGTGGCAGGCAGTGCTCGAGTGCCCAGCCCCAGCAAGTCACCTACAGGTGACCCCCTAGCCCAGCCTTGTGGAAGTTCTCGTGTGCTCCTCACAGTGCCTTTAGAAATCCCAAATCTTTTCTCATTATTCATGCTTTTATCAAGGTTAATGCTTAGTTACCATCCCTGAGATAATTGCACGTGTTTCCCTTTTGGCACAAGTCTCCTGCTTCAGTCACAGCCATCTTTTGGAAAGACATCCATCCTGCTATTATGGTGAATCACTTATCCCCACAAATGCCATTCTGCTGTGTAATTACTCACCCTGCTTCCCACTCTGAAGTTGCCTGATTTCAGTTTCCAGGTTCTGGATCTACCTGTGTTTTCAGTTACTTACTGAAGCCCCTCTCATCAACACAAAGCTTTTTCTGAGACGGCATTTGTAGGCTGTAATCAAGTTACCCACCTGTCTCCTCTTTCAAAGAAAACAGGTTAGGTTTCTTTAATCTGCCTCTGCAAACCACGTGAGCAGAGGCTTTTCATTTTCTCAGGCATGTCACTCTGGCTGTAAGAGCTGCAAGTGTCATCTGTGTACTGAGAGAGCTTCTGAAAGAGAGGAGAGTCTGTTCTGCAAACTTCATTTGCAGAGGGGTCACGGGGGATGCTGGAAGCTCTTCCAGGGAGCAGCAGTTCCAGCCATGCTCCATCAGTGAGGGCATCCGTCAGTGAGCTCTGCTAATTCAGTGTGGGTAAGGCAGTGTGGCTGCATGTTTGTAAAAAGGAACAAACAAACAAAAAAGTGAATGGGAGTTAATATCTGCCCAGGAGACATGGATTGATTTCCTGCTCATCTGCCAATCTTTAATTATTATTATGCATCATGGTATTTAGTTTCCTAAGCAAAAGGCAATGAAAACCGAATAGAGTAACATCAGATACCTATAACTCAATTTAGATATAACAGCTTTATTGACTCAAAACTGAAACATTCCAAGGGATTTATTGCAGCACGTCCTTCAGATCCAAGGGCTCTATTGACTTTGGGAAGCTCCCATCACACTGCCCAGCCAAGGCTGGCTCCCAGTGGAAGCAGCAGTTTCCTCCTGCAGCAAATTTAAAGCTCCTTGAGTCTCTTTTGGGGCTCTGGTTTTCTTCACTCTGAGAAGTGTTCATACTTCAATACCCATTAGTGCCTTATCTCTGCAAGCCTGCCCTACTTCTGCTGCTCTGCTGGGCGCCGCAGGGAACGTCACACTGCAGCGCTCGGTGGCCCTGTCATTCCTTGTGCATGTCATGGCTTCATCATATGTCTCATTAGTTAATTAGATGACAGAAGAGCAAGTGGCACCAGTCAGAGCAGTGCTACAAAACGTGTGAAAATGTCAAATGAGCTCGGAGAGTGAAGCCCCAGGTGCTGCCTGTTTTGAGAGCCCATGTTGGGCAGCTTGTTCCAGTCACTCAGGATGAGCACGGCCTGACGCATGGCCTGCACTGCCTGATCTGTGCTGTCTATGGACCCAGATGTGTCCCAGTTGGATCTTATTTTTCAAAGAACATGTTCCTCAGACAAAAAATGACTCTTCCTATTGGAGAAGGAGGTGAAAGATGGAGGTTAATGGACTTGAAGGCTTGAAGATGCTGTCCCAATGGCTACACAGCCTCCTGCCCACGCTCCCCCATGTGTTTCATGCACCAGGTGTGTAAGGGCAGCAGGAGAGCAGCAAGCCTGCCCTGCAGTGACAGCCAGGCTTGGCTTCACAGTGGTAAGAAGCACACCTGCATTCCTAGGAAGCTTGCTCAGTTTTCTTTTTATTATCAGCACCTTGCTTTTAGCCTGAATTTATCTTGCTGCATTTCCTAATCCCTCCATCTTTTCATTCCTTTGGTTATCAGCTTAGGCAACGTTCTGTGGCCAGAAATGATTCTTTTGAATAATGCACACAAGATCCAAGAGAAGACAAGCCGTGCCATCCTGGCACTGGGTGGGCTCTGCTGAGGGGCTGCTGCATCCTCACAGTGGTCACGTCCTTGTACAGAGCCTGTCTGGGAATGGGCTTTGGTCCCTTGCATGTTTTTCTTCTAGAGCTTTGGGCACCAGCTCTGTCCTCCTGCAGCCAGGGGCAGGGTGTACACCCACAGGAGCTGCAGGGCAATGTATGAAGGCAGGAAAAATCCCCCAGGGCAACATGCCTTCTGCAGTTTGCTTTGCTGCTCATGCTACAATATTGATTTCAAAACCCCTCTGCTGCTTATTTAGTTCTGAAGTGGAGCAGCGTGCCAATGAGCTGGAAGCAGCTCCTGAGTTGAGGGAGTGTATTAACCTGGCTAATTGTATGGTCTGCCTTTTATCTTAGCTTGCAATTCATTTAGCAGCAAATCTCTATGTTTGTCAGTTTTGATTCCTGGGGTATTACATAATTTCATTTGCAAATTGATTTGTGCTTTCTGATACTTCAATAACCCCATTTGGTATAAACACAGCTCTTCATTTCCCTGCGAGGACGCAGACAACGAACAGGAGCTGAGCACAAAAACAGCCACTTATTTAACCAGCAAGTATAATTTCCCATGCCCCATTTCTCACCAACCTCACCAGCCTGGGGTGCAGGTGCCACATGCATGTGAGGCGGACATGGTTTGTTTTCAGTTCTCTTTGCATTTTCTCTGCACTGTGTGCAGGACAGCACGGAGCACCCACTGCCCATGTCTCAGGGATGAGCTGCTCTGCAGAGGAACTCACGTGTTGCTGACTGCACTGCTATGGGCTTCGTGTATGGGATGCATTGGAGCTGCTGCTGTGACACGAGTCTTCAAACCTGCCTCAGCAACCAGCAAAATGCAGTTTGTAAACGTTCTCCTTTTGTGACTTCTATGTTATAAACCTGTAAGCTGTTACGGAGACACGCTTTGATTGCTGCATTCTCTCTCTGTCCTCAGCTGCGAGAAAGCAAGAAAAGCTTCATTTCAAATAGCTCCTGATTATCATTTACACTGCTCTTACTTTTTGTCCTCTCGGATCGATACTGCTGCTAAGTACTGCAAATTGGAGAAAAGCCATCAAAATGCTCTATTTTCACAGAAGACATATGATGAGATCACTGGCTCCGAGTCGTCAATCTCTTTATGTCAACGATTTCTCCAAAGGAACTTTCTTTGTCATTTCCGATACCACTTTCAAAGACAAATAGCAGGAAATGCTCTTTGAATCCAAACATGACTTCTCATGCTGGAACAAGTTGGTTAATTTGGACGGCAGCAGTAAAACATTTTGAAAACTATGGAAATATCATAAACCAGCATAGAAAGTGAGTCCATTTCAATCCTCCAAAAGAGACCAGCATGTTTTGTTTGTTTCGTTCTTCATATACCCACAAGATAATGAAGAGTGGGATTTTTTTCCTTTAATTTTTCTCTTCATCGGGCAACATGGGTTTGTTTTCCTCTCTTTTGAGGGGAAGGAACTGCGCAGAGGAAAGGGAATCAAGGAGAAAACCCTTGGAAGGCCACAAGAGCCTTGAAAGGAGAGCAGCCTCCTGCACGTTGACAAGAAGGCGGCAGGCTGCGGGTTGGTGACAGCAATGTTTGGGGCCCTGCCATCGCTGTGAACACCCCCAGTGTCACACGTCCAAGCAGTGAGGCACAGCAGAGCAGCAGAAGAGCTTTATGGAGAAGGGTGCTGGAGTGGCTGCATTGCAAAATGGTTCATTTTCCTTTGAGATTAATTGGCTGAACTCTGACAAAATCCGTTATTAACTGAACACCGCCGCCTGTTTAATTGAGTTGCTTGCAAAGCGCTCCCAGAAACTGGAAACCTTCCCCCCTCCTCCAGCTCCTATGTTCATTTCCATCCGGGGGAAATTCATGAGAATTTGTTATAAAAAACAGATTGGCAACTCACAGCCAAAGGCAACAGGCCTCTCAAAAATGTCCAAATACAAACTGTTCTAATGAATA